TGTTGGGGTAGGCGGGTGCAGTCGAGCGCTCAGCGAGACCAGGGGCAGGCTCTGCTGGGCTGAAGAGCGCGCCCGTGAGCATCGAGCTAGAGTACTCCCATCCTTAAACATCGGGGTTCGAGGACCTTTGACGTTTGTTGGGGGCCGCCAGCCGTCCAACAATCGTTTTTTTAACAGATTGAATTCTGAGGGGTTTGGGAAGCCTGCAGGCCTCCCCTCACAGCTTTTTGGGCAACGGACTTTTTGGCGCCCGAAAAGCCTCAGCGCCTCCTGAGACCCCTGGGACCCTTGCGGCTGCCGGCTCTGGGAAATCCCCCGCCAATGCAAGCATTGGGGGAGGGTCGCGGGCCGGAGGCCCTTGAAAGGCGACAGAAGCAATGAAAGGGCCCTTCGAGTGTCTTTTGCCTTCTGGCCCCGGAGTTTCAACTTCCCAATGATCGACCACCACTTTGTCAGAGTGTCCCTTTGTCCGTTTCCCAAGCGTAACAATTGTTTCCTAAACATGACTGACGTATGAATTTGGAATGGCTTTGGCCTGGTTTGGGCTGGCTCCGGCTGAATTTGACTTTGAGTGGTGTTTGGGTGGCCTTGGGATGAGTACGTCTCCGCACCACTGCGCTTAGCCAAGCAGACCGGTTTAGGGTTTAGGGTTTTACGGTTTAGGGTTTAGGGTTTAGGGTTTAGGGTTTAAAAACCCTCAACCCGAAACCTTAAACCCTAAACCCTAAACCGTTCATCTCTAGGCTTCGGCTTCAGACCTTAGGGTGACCATCTTCGGGTTTTGGGGTTTAGGATTTCGTGGGTTCATGGGTTCAAAATTTTGGAGGCGTAGGTCTCGGGCTGCGACTTGGTGTGTTGTTTTGGGCGTCTGGATACAGGCCTTCTTTGTGCGCTTTGCCGCCCTCAACCGTCAACCCTCAACCCTCAGCCCACAAACCTGAACCCTCAAACCCAACCCTAGACCCCAACACTCCCAAAACGCTGAACCCTCATTCCCAAGTCCCAAACCCAAACCCGGCCCTCAACCCCGCGTCCGGAATTCCTGAACCCTGATCCCTGAACCCTGGACCTCCAACTCCCAAGCCTAAACCCAAAGCATCCGAAACACCCTAAACACCTAAGCCTAAACGCCTAGTAGGCCTGTCTTGGCTCACGAACCTCTTCCAAAGAGACGCCTGTCACCGCAAGGCTTTAGGGCTTCAGGGTTTAGGAACCGGCTCAGGGATTCGTTAGGTCCGGGGTCTGTGGTTGGGGGTTTAGGTTGTAGCACGCACTCATTCAGCTACTTGCATCATCGTTTGGTTTTAGAGGGGTGTGGGGCGTGGAGTTTGGGGTTGTATACCGTACACCCTAAACTAAACCCTAAACCCTAAACCCTAACCTTAATCCTTGAACCCTAGACGTGAACGCCCTCAACCCATCTGGGAGACTAGGAACTCCAAAATCCACTTGAACCCCTGAACCCTTGAAGCCCTGAAAGCCCAGAACCCTCGCGGGGGTTTAGGGTTTAGGGTTTAGGCTTTAGGGTTTTGGGTTTAGGGTTTATGGGGTTAGGCTTTCGGGTGTGGTAGGGCTTACAACTTCAGACCCGTAGCTTAAGCTTAAGGTGTGTGAGGTGTAAGGGTTCACGCGGTTTTCAGGCTGCAGGATTCGTGGTCTAAAGCTTTTCTACCTACACCTTGAACCCTGAAACCTTAAAACCCTAAACCTTAGACTCCAAGCCACAAGTCAGGGAGTAGTGCTTTGCAACTAGCCCTAAGCTCTAAACTGAAACCCTAAAACCCTACAGCCTAAAACTATAAACCCTAAACCCTAAACCCTAAACCCTAAACCCGAAACCCGAAACCCTAAACCCTAAACCCTAAACCCTAAGCCCTAAACCCTACATCTCAGGACACGTCACTCACGGAGGCGGGGAGGGAGCAGGCCATGGCATTGGGCGAGAACCTGACGCTTCGCCTACTATCTGCCTTAAGAGCCTCCAAAATACAAATGGGGGGTTTAGGGTTTAGGGTTTAGGGTTTAGGGTTTAGGGCCTTAAGAACCTCCAAAATACAAATGGTCGTTTCTCTAAACTATGTTCCTTTTTGGGGTCACTATTCTAAGGCGGCCCCTCACATGTACCCGCAAAAGGACCATATCTTTGTGAACTATCCAAATGGTGATGTCTGTGAATTATGGTCCCTTTTGGGGTCCTTATTCTGAGGCGGCCCCTCTTCTTTAGGGTACCCCAAAACGAGGACCATACTTTAGAGTACTAGCCGAATGTCTAGGACCGGGAGTAGGCCCGTTTTTCCTTTGTTTAGGGTTGGGGTTCCCTTCTTATCCCCTTAAACCAAAAAGGGTACCCGTTTATTCCTAGGCGACTCCCGGGTCTAGATGTTCTTCCCTTAGAAGGGTTGTATAGGGATTACGCTCGTTGCTTTGTTCGGTGGCTATTGCATCGGTCCCAGGTCTTCATTTCCAACCCCGAGTGAAGCCCTAAACCCTCAGCCCGAAACCCTAAACCCTAAACCCTAAACCCTAAACCCTAAACCCTAAACCCTAAACCCTAAACCCTAAACCCTAAACCCTGAACCCTAAATCAAGAACCAAACATGGGTTTCGGAAGCTCAGAGTTTTAGGTGGATGTAGGGTTCAAGCCCTAACTCCTAAAACCCAAGCACCGAGCCCAAAAACCCAAAAGCAGAGCAGCCCTAGCATTGCCCAAACCCCTCCAAACCCCAACATAAACCAAAGAAACCTTAAACCCTAAACCCTAAGCCCGAAGCCCTAAACCCTAAACGCTAAATCCTAAGCCATAAGCCCTAAGCCCTAAACCTTAAATCCTGAACTCCGAGTCCAGAGAAGATTCCTGGAACAGTATCCCAAATCGGGTGGAGCCGGTTAAAGTTCAGTATATAGCCGTTAGCGCGGCCGATGAACCTCCATGCCAATATTTCGGAACATCGGGTTCCTGCAAGGAAACATGATCGGGGTACCGAGCTCCTCCCTGCAAAGAGCCAGTCTGTCCGCAGATTGATTGGACAACCCTCAAGCCGCAATCCCCTGAAGAAACTCTAACATAGGGGTCGGAAGAATTGCTAGTAGTATTCCCTTATGCTCCCTATTTACTTATACTACAATAGCCCCCCAAAACCCTATTCTAATTATTCAGGGCCCCTACATTAAGCCACCGAAAACCCGAATTCACCCTCAAGCCGAAAATGTTCAAGCCCCAAGCCTTCAACCCTAAACGCCCTATGTCCGTAAGCCTTAAAAGCCCTAAACCCCAAAAGCCTTGGAACCCTAAAAGCCCTAAGCCCTAAACCCTAAACCCGAAAAGCCTTAAACCTGAATGCCCAAAACCCCGAAACTCTGCACAAACTACCCTAAGCCCTAAACCCTAAAGCCTAAACCCTAAACCCTAAAACCCTAAACCCTAAACCCTAAACCCTGAACCCTAAACCCTAAACCCCAAACACTAAACCCTCAACCCTAAACCCTATCTGTCTGTCCAAGGGCAGCGGATCCAGGGCATCCGTTGCACTCCGTCGAGGCCCCCTCCCCCTCCCGAGACCGATTTGCGGTTTAAATCTCGCGGTTTCGGGTTTAGGGTTTGGGGTTTAGGGTTTAGGGTTTGAGGGCTTAGGGTTTAGGGTTTGGGGTTTAGGGTTTGAGGGTTTGAGGGTTTAGGCTTTAGGGTTTGGGTTTATGGTTCAGGTTTTGGGGTTTGGGTTTCAGGTTCAGGGTTCAGGGTTCAGGGTTTAGGGTTTCGGGTTTGGGGTTTAGGGTTTTAGGTTCAGGGTTTCGGGTTGAGGGGTTAGGGTTTCGGGGTTTAGGGGTTTACGGGGTTTAGGGATGAAGGGTATGGGGGTTTATGGGTTTTCGGGGTTTGGGCTCTTTTTGGCTCTAGTGGTTTAGGGTTTAGGGTTTTAGTGGTTTAGGATTTTTCGGGGTGTAGGGGTTTAGGGGGTTTAGGGCTTATGGGGTTGAGGGGTTTAGGGAACCAGAAGCCCGAAATCCTTGCCTGTGTGCGAAGGAGGTCCACCCGCGCCCTGAAACCCAAAAACTTAATCCTGATACCCTATGGCCCTAAATTAGGGTTTAGGGTTTAGGGTTAGGGTTTAGGGTTTAGGGTTTAGGGTTTAGGGTTTAGGGTTTAGGGTTTTAGGGTTTAGGGTTTAGGGTTTAGGGTTTAGGCTCTTAAACGCCCGAAAGCCCGAAAACCACAATCCGCAACCCTAAGCCCTGAAAGGCCTAAAGCCTAACCCTCAACCTGAAACCCTATATGATGTCCTGCACCCTAAGAAACCCCAGACTCTAAACCCCAGACCCTAAACCCTAGACCCTAAACCCTAAACCCTAAACCCTGAACCCTAAACCCTCAACCCTCAACCCTGAACCCTGAACCCTAAACCCTAAACCCTAAACCCTAAACCCTAAACCCTAAACCCTAAACCCTAAGCCCTACATCCTGCCCTCCGAGGTTGTCATAACCTCGCCCCTGACGCGGTGCATCCAGACCATGCTGGCCATCTTCGGGGAGGGCGACGTGCCTCCCAGTCGCCCGACAGCCAGTTTAAGGTTCAGGGTTCAGGGTTTGGGGATTAGTGTCTAGGGTTTAGGGTCCAGCGTTTAGGGTTAGTGTCCAGGGTTTAGGGTTTAGGTTTAGGGTTGATAGTTCATAGGGTTCAGGGTTTAGGGTCCAACCCGAAGTCTTGATTACGAAAGCCGATCCTGAACCCCTAAACCTGAAACCCTAGACCCTTACCCTAAAGCCTATGTTATCACGGTTGATTTGCCCTAAAGCCTAATTACTAAACGCCTAAACCTAGAGCCTAAGACCTGGCTCAGGGTTCAGACGAACTTGTTTTTGCTTCGGGGTTTTGGGTCAAAGACCGGCGCTATTTTGGGAGCTTGCAACACTTGACAGAAAAGCCTAAGCCCTCAACTGGAAACCCAAAAGCCGAAGAAGGACAAACGAACAGGCAGGTGCGCTTTGTTTAGCCGTCGTCGCCATGGATGCCACGGCCGGGCGGCTTCTGCAGCATCAGCTGCTTTCTGAGGAGCATGACAAGGTGCCCAATGACGTGGTGGTGGCGGACTCGCCGACCGCTACCGCGAGTCTCGAAGGTGTGCAGCAGCAGCTGACCTCGCTGGACAGTTTGCTGCGGAGTGTCTACGAGCGACAAGACCAGTGGTCTGTGGCCATTTCTGCCCACATTGCTCGCCTGGAGCGACAGGTAGGCAAGCTGCATCGTCAGGGGGTCAAAGGCGCGAAGACGCGATGCAAGGTGAGGAGAAAGCGCTTTTCCACATCTTCCGCGAAGAATCAGAAGGTCCTGGAGCTGCTGCCTCCAATGCCATGCATCGAGCAAGATGACCCTGCGCAGCGGCCGGCTGGAAGCTGCGCCTACTTTCGGATGGATGCGGAAGACGCGGAGTGCGACGAGGAGCCGCTGGAGGATGTGACGCCGGCTACCAGCGACGTCCTGGTCGCTGTGTCGCTGTGCGGGCGTGGCCCTAGGGCAGATGAAGGCGTCACGCGTGCGCAGGGCACGTCGGAGGCCGCGGAAGACACCGTGGTCCTTCGCGCGCTCCCGCACGATCCTCAGCCTCAGGGAATGTCTGAAACCTGTGATGCCGACCGCTTACTTGAAGAGCGTGCATGGAGGTGGTTGGAATCTGAGACACTGCGCCGTCAGCTGCAGATGCCAACTTTCCGAAGTCAGGACTCAGCTGGTCGAGATTCCGATCCTGGCATCGATGCGTCTTCGGAGGGGTCTGGGACGATGCCGGCCTGCGCGTCCATGAGTGTCGAGGTTCCGGACCTATCCGACCGCTTGTGGCTTGTGTTGACATTGCCGAGTCTGTTGCAGCACCTAGCCCTGGACGACATCATCGGGTGGCGTCAAATATGCCGCCAGACCAGGAGTCTTGGTAGGCCAGTGGTACCCTTTTCCCTTCTTTTGGTTCGAGGTTCCCTCATAAAGTAACCTGCCCTGAGTATAAGATGGTCTTTATAAAACCATATAAAAACCCTCTTTCCCTTATAAAGTAACTTACCCCCAAAAGGGTGCCCTTGTTATAAGATGGTTGCTGGGGCTACCAAGGAGTCCCAGGGTCTTGATACGGCACCTGGCCGAAATGGGACGGTTGGACCGGTCCTTGTCCATTTGCGAGTTCTCGAAACTAGTATGGCCTTGGGACATTTTCTATTTTCCCTTGTTGGGTTTAGGAGGGTTCTCTTCAGGAACATTTTTTCAGAGAGGGTTTTCAGGGCCGTCCTAGGAGAGACGCTTCTCATGCCCGACAAGCCCCTGATGAAGAATTTGCACGCAGTCGGCTCAAGCTCTTCAGGCGCCTCCTGACGAGTATTGCCTCAGCCAGGTCCACGTCAAAGGGTCTCTTTGCCGAGCGTCAGAAGTGGGTGTCCCTGCTGGTCAGAGTCCTCGAAGGTCAGAACCCACACCGGGAGGCCTTGATTCATGACCTCGAGATCCTGTGGCGAGCTGATGACGACCCCAGGCGGAGCTACGCAGAAGCCGAACAACAGCTGAGGGCTTTCTCGCAGCACCTCAGCCGAGGCGCCTGGCATACGTTTTGGGCTGAAGTCTGAAAAGAAGTGGTTTAGGGTTTAGGGTTTAGGGTTTGTGTATGTCAACGTGAATTTCCGATGAAGAGCCCATTTCGCTTGCCGTTGGCACGGAGCTTTCGGGCGAGCTGGTGACGATCCCAGATGAAGCTGCGCAGGAACAGCTGAGGCTTTCTGGTGCTTTCTCACAGTCAGCCGAGACGTGTAGCGTAATCTTCGGGAACTGAGCTGCTGCTGATGTCGGTCTAAACTGCCCAAGACCCTTACTGCTAAATCCTAAATCCTGACGGGGCCTTCCACAAACTCCAACCGCGCCCCTTATGGGTTTAGGGTTCAGGGTTTAGGGCCTGGGGTTCCCTGACCCTAGACCCAAAAGACCCTTAAACTCAAACCCTAAACCCTAAACCCTAAACCCTAAACCCTAAACCCTAAACCCTAAACCCTAAACCCTAAACCCTAAACCCTAAACCCTAAACCCTAAACCCTAAACCCTAAACCCTAAACCCTAAACCCTAAACCCTAAACCCTAACCACTAAACCCTAAACCCTAAACCCTAAACCCTAAACCCTAAACCCTAAACCCTAAACCCTAAACCCTAAACCCTAAACCCTAAACCCTAAACCCTAAACCCTAAACCCTAAACCCCAAACCCTAACCCCTAAGCGCCAAGCCCTCAGCCCTCAGCCCTCAGCCCTCAGCCCTCAGCCCTGAGCCCGAAGCCCTAAGCCCCAAGCCCGAAGCCCTAAGCCCCAAGCCCTCAGAGCTCTAGGATGCATCTGTGCCGCCCATACGGAGCCGGGACCCTACCTGAAGGGTCAGGGCTCAGGGTTCAGGGTTTAGGGTTTAGGGTTTAGGGTTTAGGCTTTAGGGGGTAATTGGCACCCGAAACCCTCAGACCCTAAACACTGAAACCTAAACCCCAACCCCCAAACCCTAAACCCTAAACCATGCAGGGGCGGGGGAGGGGAGGCTTCTGCTTGTCAATTGCTTCAGTGCTTAGGCTTAGTTTCTTGGGGCTTGTAGACGACCTGAAAGTCCTCAACCCTATTTAGAACCTTAAACCCGAAAAGACAACAAAGGCCGAAGACAATACCCACAAGCATGAACCACCGAAAAGACAACAAAAGCCGAAGACAATAGCCACAAGCATGAACATATGGACAATACCCGCGAACATTTGGATAATGCCCGCGAAAACTTGGATCATGCCCACGAAAATGTGCATAATGCCCGCGATATTTGGATTATTCCCACGGAATGTTGAATAGTGCCCAAAATTCTGGATAATGCCTGCGAGATGTTGGACAGTGCCCGCGACATGTCGGATGATGCCCACGATTGTTTGTTGATGCCCGCAAAAATTTGGATGACGCTCACGAAAGGTATAGGGTGAACATCAATATACACAGAAGTACATACAGTATATGTATACTGAAAACATATAGATATCTTGATGTGAAGGAGAGGTTTAGGGTTTAGGGTTTAGGGCTAGCTTGAAGGTTCACTGGCAGTTTGAAGTCAGGCTTCGGGTGTGGGGTCTTACTTTGAAGGCTCATGTGTGGATAGAAGCAGGGCTAGAAGCGCCCCACGAAAGCTTACAAACAGTCATGAGTATAGGATCCCCATGAATCATGCCCAATTTCAAGCAAATATTGGCTTGAAATTAAGCAAATCGCGAAAAACTACTTGCCATTCCTAAGGTGAGATCACAAAGGAAAGACGCCATCGCGACTTCATGCATGCACACGCGCGCATACTTCTAGTCGTGAACCCTAAACCCCAAACCCCCAAACCCCAAACCCCAAGCCCTAAAGCCTAAACCCTAAATGCGGGGCCTTCCCGAGCGCTTAACAGCCATGGAGCCCAACCAAAAGCCCAGGACCCTGAACCGCAAAGCCAAACATCCCCATCAGCCGTCGAGGCGATGCGTCTTTCCCTGCGACACAGGCAGATCGCCCGAGGACCGGTCGACGTGCAGTTTCGGGTGTAGGGTTTAGGGATTAGGGCTAGGGTTTAAGGTTTAGGGTTTCGGGTTTGGGGTTTCGGGCTTAGGGTTTAGGGTTGATGGTTTGGGGCCCAGGGACCTAAACCCTAAACCTTAAATCCTGAACAAGGGGCCTCTTAGGGGTGGGCCATTTGGGCTGGATCCACTTTCGGTAAACCAGAAGCCAGCCAACCACGGGTTGTTTTAGCTAAGGCCCGTTTCAGAGGTTCTAGGGTTTAGGGTTTAGGATTTATGGTTTTAGGGTTTATGCGAAAAGGAGCCCTCAAAGGGATCCCAGGTTGGAGGGACTCAAACCCACAAGCTCTGAACCCTGAGCCCTAAACCCCACCAATCCCCCCCCCCCCCCCCCCAAACCCTAAACCCTAAACCCGAAACCCTAAACCCTAATTACACCCTAAACCGCAAACCCCAAGCCGCAAATAAACCCTAGAACCTACACCCTAAACCTGAACCTAATCCCTAAAACGCCTAAACCCTAAAATCCTACATAAACCCTAAATACACCCAAAACCCAAAACCACCCTAAACCCTAATCCCAGAAACACCGTAACCGTAACCCCTAAAACCCAACTAAACCCTAAACCCCTAATCCTAAACCCTAAACCTAAACCCTAATCCCCAAAAACCCTAAACCCTAAAACCCCAAATGCACCCAAAAACCCGAAACCCCAAAACCACAAACCCTTAAACCCTAAACCCTAAACCCTAAACCCTAAACCCTAAACCCCAAACTTTTTGTTGGAGGCCCTGGCGGAGGACTTTCCGATGGCCCGCGAGTTCCGGGGGTTCGGGGATCTCGGAGAGCAGTGGTGGCCGAAGGACGCTTGGGTTTAGGGTTTAGGGTTTAGGGTTTAGGGTTTAGGGTTTAGGGTTTAGGGTTTAGGGTTTAGGGTTTAGGGGAGAGTTCAGGGGTTTTAGGGTTAGGGGTGTTTGGGGTTTAGGGTGTAGGGGTTTTAGGGGAAACTTAGGGGTAACTGAGAGGTGTTTAGGGTTTAGGGTTTAGGGGTTTAGGGTTCGGGGTTTGGCTGAAGGATTTAGGGGTTTCTGGGTTTAGGGTCTATCTAGGGGTTTAAAAAGCGCGTAAGCTCTTGAGTTTCCAGTTCAGAGTTCAGGGGGCATGGGATCCTGGCACAGGGAACCCTAAACCTGAAACCCTAAACCTTATACTCAACACCCGAAATCCTAAACCTTAAACCCTAAACCCGAAACCCGAAACCCTAAACCCTGAACCCTAAACCCTAAACCCGAAACCCTAAACCATCTACGCAGCAATGCAAGAGCTAAGTCAGGCCAGTTGCTTTTGAGGCCCAGACATGTTGGGATCTGCAGGATCCTATGATTCAGGGTTTAGGGTTTAGGGTTTAGGGGTGCAGAAGTTCGGGTACAGGGGCCTGAGATCTACAGGAGCAAGCCCCAAGCCTGAAGCTCCTAAACCGCAAACGTTACACACCCCCAGGAGAGTCAAAGCCGAAGCTGCTGCGAGTAGTGTAGATATATAGTTGCATCTTTCTTGGGGTAGCCGAAAACCCTCAACCCTAAATCCTAAAGCCCAAAACCCTAAACACTGCGCCCTGAACCCTGGGGCTTGGGGTTTGAGGGTTTGGGGTAGCCCCTAATCTCGAAGAGGATCGGTCTGTCATGAGCGAGCTCCATCCTACTGACAGGGTCCCGCACCAAGGGGGGCAGGGTTGGGGGTTTAGGGGTTGAGGGTTTAAGGGTTTAAGGGTTTGAGGGTTTAGGCTTTTTGAGGGGTCTGGGGTCTGGAGCTTCAGGCTTAGTAGGGACTGAGCTTCAGGTTGAGTAGGGACTGGAAGTTGTGCGCGAGCATCCTCCTTGACCACGGCTGACGCTGCAGCCTGCGGAGCGTTTTTGGCCATTGCACCGCGGCGAGTGCAGAGATGTCAGGGTTTAGGGTTTAGGGTTCAGGATTTAGGGTTTAGGGTTTAGGGTTTAGGTTAGGGTTTAGGGTGTCCACCACAGCCTTTGGTCTGCAGACTCGAGCTGTACATGATCCCGACGTGCGAGAAGCATCCTCGGGCAGGACGAAGCCATGCATGTGGGAGTCCTTGCTGCCGCTGCAGGTATTTGGGTGGATGCTGACTGAAAGCTCGACTAGCTGGCGTCCTAAACCCTAAACCCTAAACCCTAAATCCTAAACCCTAAATCCCTAAACCCTAAACCCTAAACCCCTAAACCCTAAACCCTAAACCTTAAACCCTAAGCCCTAAACCCGCCCGCCACCCCTTTCCTTCTGTGGGTAGGCGGGCGCGTCGAGCGCCAGCGAGACCATGGCAGGCTCTGCTGAGCTGCAGAGCCTGCCAGCCGCACCCCTGAGGGGTCGCCAAGCTACAGTCGCCTTGCTCAGTGACTGTTTATATATTATAACCCTAAACCCCACCCTGTCCTCTCGTGGAAGGTGCGCCCAAACCCTGGCCTGGGGCCCCCCTGGAGGCCTCCCGACTGCGGCCTTGTTTGCTGGACCAGGGGCCCTTTAACTGCTCAAAAAGTGCTTTTTCACACCCTTTTTGGGCCTCTCGAGCCGGGAGGCCCCTGGGAGGCCCCTGGGAGGCCGCTGGGAGGCCCTAGGCCCCTGGGAGGCCCGAGGGTTTGGGAGGCCCTGAAAGGCCCCTTCCTTGAAAAGCGAGGCGAGGTGCCGGGGAGGCCCCTGGAGGCCTGGGAGGCCCCAACTGCAGGTCCTGGAGGCCCTTCCAGGCCTCTGGGAGGCCCCTAGGAACGGTTGTCCCGGAATTGTCCCGAGGCCCGGTCTCCCCCTGCAAAACTCCGCAAAGGCCTGGCGAAGGTACGACACTTCGGCGTAGGGAAGAAAATCAATGAGAAGGCCCTCCGGCAAAAGACACCCCCAAACGCAAACGCCGATTTGGCTCTCGCAAGCTTCTAGACCTTTTTTTGAGCAAAGGGTCTTTCGCCATTCAACCTTTACGCTCCGGCATATAGAAGAAAAAACAATGAGAAGGCCCTCCGGCCGAAGACACCCCCCAACGCAAACGCTGATTTGGC